AGCCCGCCGCGTCACGTGACGCTCCCTGCCAACAGGTCGCCCGAGGCTGGGCTCGCGGGGGTCACAGAAGGGGGGCGGGGTGGGGGCGGGGCGGCGAGTCCGACGGGCTTGGGGCGGGAGGGGAGGGACGTCCGGCTTCTCCGGTGTCCCACCCCAAGGGGTCCTAGTCCCTGTGGTTGAAACCAACGGCGTGACAAAGAGGAGGTGCAGCTGCCCTCACAGCTCCCACTGAGGAGGGAGATGTCAGAGCTCCCCGGGCTTTCCCAGAGGAATCAGGAAAGTGTTTAGGGATGCCCTAAAGTCATCCTTCTGGCTTTAAGGAAAACCGAGATGCTTCTGTCGGTTCATTCTCGGAGCCTGCCAGCAGGCCTCTCCCTACTGTGGAACTTTTGAACCAACCGCGGCTTACTTACCCTAGAAGGGTTGGGTTTTAACTCCCTTTTCTTTAGAGGCTTGGAGATGTCACCTGTTTTTGTTTATCTCTTCTCTGAAAACTCGACCCATCGCTGCCAGTCTAAATTTAGACACCAATGGGCCAGTATTCTTTCTCTAGGGTGTCAAATAGGACAGGAAACACATAGCTTCACTGGAATTTGAAAAGGGAAGTAGTAGGGTGATGTCAACAGAGATTAGCTTGACCCTACAAGGCTGACTGCTGTGATTATTAAAGGTCCAGACCATAGAAGGAAGTGAGAAGGCGGTAAATAGAGAAGTCCCATTCAAAGAATCCAGACATCACTACCTGCCATCTCCCCTGGTTTAGTCTTTGTTCTCTTTGGCCTCTTTTCTCTTGCATAAACCAGATTTTCAAGGAAAGAAGGCACTGACACTGTCCTGTGGGCATTTTAGAGGAATTATTATATCCTGTGAATCTGTTCTATGATACAGGTTTATTAACAAAGTCTTAAAATGTTATTAGGGCCTCACTTTTAGCACAGGTTTAGAAATAAATTTTAAAATCTCCATGAATGTTAAATTACCGTGATAGTCCTATGTAATCTTGCTAGTTTCAAATGAAATGCTAACATACTCAGAAAGTCTGTGTACACCATCTGCCAGCTGAGTCCAAAATACTGTGCTTCAATCTGGTGACTCTCAAAAGATGCAAAGCTAATAGATAGTTAACATTTTATGCATCATCGTGAATTTTGTGGTCTCCTCCCGTTCCCTTTCCCCGCGTTTTTTCACTGTGGCTGGTGAAATTCTGCAGCACCATGCTTTTGCCAAGAACATAAAGTGCTTAAACCAGCAGGCTTCATCTTTGTCAAGCCTGCCCCAAATTTCTCAAAACTTAATGACTTCCTTCAGTGTATCTGCAATCCGTCTGTGGTGTGGTGCCCAGTTTGATGCCCCATGTTCATTGAGCAGCGAGAGTTACCCAATTGTCAAGACAGGTCAGCCATCCCTGCTTTTATTCTATGGGTTCCACTTACTAAGTTACCAGTTGGCCTGAGCCTCTGCACTGGTAAACCCTCACTGAGGTCAACAGGAGCATGGCATCTAGCTATGAATGGCTAAATCATTCATCCTCAGGAAAATGTTAAAGCTTTCCTAAACACACAGCAGGCAACTTGTATCTTTTGCACTATTGTGAATGACATTCTAGGATAGTATTTCACTGTTACTTTTACCATAGAGGTTCTTACAAACCACCTTAGTCAAATAACTGTGGACATGTTCACCTTATTAATAAACTAGCTTCTATTAGAAATATCACTGCACTTTTTTTCAAAGGTATATTTTAGAAGTTTCTAAATATGTAAACAATTAGTGATCATTGTAGAGATTTATGTATAACTGGGAACTGAAAGATACGAAGAAATTTAGATGACAAGGAAGTGTCCTAAGGATAGAAATTACTAACATATCCTATCTTATATGCTTAAGTTTTCTGTGTGTTCCACTTTTCTTGGTCTATTCAAGAAATATCTTTCCCTGAAGTCCCAGAGATGCCTCAAACTCACTGTGGCCAAAACTGAACTTCTCTTGTCTTTGCCCATTCGACATCCTGAATCCATACTGATCTTTTTCTTTATTCTTTGCTTCTATTAATGGCCTTACCACCTGCCCAGAAGTCCAAGTCAGAAAAACCATGACTCACTCTTAGCTCTCCTTCACTCTTATTTCTCATCTAGCCTAATCTGCTTACATCCCTCAAAACCATATTCTCTCTAACACCACCTCTATTGCCTTAGTTCCAGGCTTTATGATCTCTTTCCTATGTAGACTATTCCAACAACTATTTAGCTGATGTCTCTTTCTCTCATACTTCAACCCTCCACTCCAGAAGGAGTCTTTCTGAACCCAAAATATGATTATCTTTTCTTTGCATCAAAACGCTTTCGTAGCACCCTCATCACTACTCTAGAGAATAAAGTTCTGGACTCTCAGCCTGGCATACAGGCCCTTCGTGATCAGTAGCCACTACCTAACTATTGCTCAGTGAGCCTCATCTCTTCCCAGTCCCCCACATGCACTCCAGCCAGTATTGCAGTACTGGCTATGCTTGGATGTGCCATGCTGTTTCATACCATAGGCAGTCAGCAGTTTCCTTTTGTTACTCATGTGGTATCTTGTATATCCTTCTGCCATCTAATTATTTTAATTGTTTTCTTGCACAAGCATGGGGGGATGGCAGATATCTTCTTGCTAGTATTGTGGCTGATGCACAGTAGACACACAGTCGTCTTATGGTTAAATGAATGAATGAAGACATTTTGAAGTCACCCATTTGGAAACACCACTCCAAACCTCTCATTTAATAAAACCTGGCCATTTTTTTTTCACTTACGGCATAATTGCCAGATTGTGGACAATAATTATGGATTGTGGACTGCAGATGGATTTGGAGCATTATCCTGTTTCAGTACTTTATCAATTCATTTACTCTTTCAAAAAATATACATTGAACAAGTACTGTGTGTCAGGCACTGTTCTAGGTGCTGCCTACTATTCTAACAGTGAACCTGTCAGTCCTTTGGGAACTACTCAGCTTTTAACTCACCAACTGAAGGTGTATGTGTTTTAATTACTAATGAACAGAACCAAAAACAGAAGAAAGGAAAAAAATCTTGAATAGTACACAATATTTCCTAGCCTCCCCAAATTAAAAAGTATACTGTAGAGAGGTGTGAGGTCCAAGGGAGGGAACAATAGTTTTTTGAATGCCTTCTGTGTACTAGGAACACTACATACAATTTCTCATTTAATTCTCCTTACTATAACTCTGAAACGTATTGTTCCACTTAATACAAGGGGAGAAAAAGGGTCTTAGAAGTTAAATTCTTATCTAATTTTTCTCTATTGCTTAAAAAAAATTAAGTCTTAAAAAGTCGCAGAATCCCACAGATAATCAAGTGGTAGAAACAAGATTTTAAAACTCATTATCCTTTCATTATTTTATCTAGACTCTCTAGCCAAGACTTAAGCAACTACCATATAAATTAAATTCAATTAATAAATACTTCTTATCTACATACTCTATGCTAAGGCATTGCTAGTTGCTAAGATATAATAATGTGTGAGACACACATGTCCTCTGCTGTCAGAGTTCTTATACCATTTTAAATGGCAACAGAGGAGAAAAGTAAGTGGGGAGAAGAAAATATGCTGCACCTGAAGAATCCTTATGATGTCTGTAATTTTAAAGTAAGAAAATGAGGTAAAAAAGAATACAGAAGAGAGGAGTGACCAGAATTTTTACCCTTTATTATTTCACATAAGAGCATTCCCAAATCCAAAGAGTCTACCAGTTCCCTATTCCCACTCTTCTTAGACATTACGGCTATCTAAATTATAATCTTTTGACATTCTGTTAGCTAAGCCGACCTGAACACCTTGGCAACCCCTTCATCCCTCACCTTTCTATGTTTATGCTTCCTGATGTTGCCAAGTCAGTTAAAGATTATAATCTTATATAAACTTACAAAAAGGTAAGGACTTTTTCTTTGAATGTAGCTTTACTGTTTTGCTAGAACTTCCAGGCAAGGACTCCACTTCCAACTGTGGGACCCTTATTCAGGCTCTCAGCATACATCCTTGTGATAACAACAATTACATTTAACTGTGTTGATTACTTATCCTGTGCTAAGCACATTACATGCATAACTCAAACCCTAAAACAATATCATGACCTAAAGTAGCAGAGACAGCTTTGCGTTCCCCCAAAGTCTGCTTCCTTTTCTCCTGAACACACACACCGTATTTCCCATCCTCCTCTGTAATTAGTCATGGCCATGTGACTGACTTCTGTCCAACAGAATGTGGACAGAAGCGAAAACCATTTAAGTTTTGGCCCACAGAACCTCTGAAACCTCCTACACATGCTCCCATTCTCTTTCTTTTCTTACCTACCAGCTGAATGAAGATTTCAAAGAATCTAGAGGAAGTCAAAACCACAAAATGGAAGAATCCTGGGGCCCCAAAATAATCCTTAGAGAAATCCTGCTCCAGGGAACTGCATGACCAGGAACACCTGTGCTGGATTTTACTTGTCTTATTAAATTCTGCCTCCAAAATTTTGATGCTGTAGTTACCACAGTCATAAGCTGCCCTTCCTAATACCCTTCTTTTCTCTCCACTTCATTGATGAAAAAATTGAGGCTTACAAAAAGTTAAGTAACTTGCTTAAATTTGCTCAGCTGTTAGGTGGGGAAGGGTTAGACCTCAGGCCTATCTGACTTCAGAGCTTGGGCTCTCACTGCCTAACTTTCTCATGACACTACTTCATGTGCTTCTTAAAACTTTGTCCAAGCCCATATAGCCTTTAACATACACTGCTTCACTTAGCATGTGGAGAAGATAGTAATCAGGGTGACCACCACGTTCTCTCATATGTATGGGGCTCTTTTACTACCTTTAACTCACTCTTGCCACATTCTCCTTTCTTTCAAGTATATTAATTCTGTAATTCCAATATGACTTACAATGTATTTTGGCCTTTTATACTCCTTGAAAGATGACATGTAGACTAGCTGTAAAATACAGCCCTTCTCTAAAAAGGGAAAACTAATCAAACTTTGACTCTGAATCATTATCAAAACTTTCTCTGTTACGAAGCAGAATAAAAATAGTATACCTGAGCTGTTAAGATACCTGGAGTCCATTCTTCTCTGTAATCTAAAGAGGCTGAATCAAATAAAAGTGTATCAGAACATGTAACACTGAACTGAAAGATCAGGATTTTAATGTTCATGATGAAATTAGGGTATTAAATTTTGACTAGTAAGTAACAGTAAAATGAAGGAGATTTATTAATTCATTTGAGGCAATGGGGGAAACACCAGATTTGTAGTTAGGCACACTTAGGTTCAAATCTCTGGGCAAGTTATTTGGTTTCCTCATATATAAAGCAGTGATAATAGCACATATCTTACAGATTTCTTGTCAGGATTAAAATAATGCACGTAAAGAATTAGTACAATGCTTGACACACAGTTGTCAATGAATAAAATCATTCGGCAAATATTTACTCAGAATTTACTATGGACAAAGCACTCTACTAGAGTCGCAGGATATAGACATAGATTAGGTAAAATATTAACACAATGTATAATTGACCCTTGAACGAGATGGACTTCAAATGCACAAGTCCATTTATACGTGTATTTTTTTCAGTAAATACATACTACAGTGCTACATGATCCCCAGTTGGTTGAATCTGCAGATGCAGAGGTCTGACTGGCAGCGAGGGTGGGGGTGGCAGCAGGTAACTCCTGCCTTGTTCAAGTGTCAATTGTGTTAAGTAACATGATGAGGTATGCCTACAGTACTATAAGAACAAAGAAAGATGATACCTAGTTCTTCCATTCTAGATCCTGAAAACACATCAGTGAACAGAATAGAAAAGTTTTCTGCCTTCTTGAATGGTATGTATATTCAAGTGGGGATATAACAAACAAACATGAAACAGATGCAGGGAGTGAAGAGTGTTATGAAGAAAACTTAAGCAGGGTAAAAGAATCAAGAATGACAGGAGATTACGTTAAATTGGATATCCAAGGAAAGCCTTTCCAAGAAGGCGGCATGTAACTTGAGTGGATTGGGGGAGTCAGCAGTGCAAATATTGGGGAGATCATTTTGCATCAAGGGAACAGTGAGTACCATAGCTCTCAGACAGGAACAAGATTAACTTGTTTCTGGAACAGTAAGGCCAGTGTGGCCACACACACAAAAAAAGTGAAGAAGATACAAAGACTTAAGAAATGACCTCAGAGAAATAATCAGGATATGAAGGGCTTTAAAAGACATGTTGAGGAATCTAGATAATATCTAGACATAGATGTCCCATGAGAATAGACAGCTAGCCCTAGATCCTTGGAACAACCTGATGACTGTGTGAAGTAGGCTATTTCCAGTCAAGGCAACTGGAACAAGACCCCATTGGTTGCCATGTTCTTCTTGTACGCATATCCCCTTGGCTTCGCATCTTCTCAGCTATTTTGTTCCCCCTCTTCTGGATCAAGGTTTCAGACAGTTGATGGACACCAATGCCCTCTACTCATGGCATTTCCAAGACCCGTATTCTTTATTCACTGGTAAGGCTGAATAAACCCTACCCAAATTAAAGGAAAGAAGAAACTTGATTACGTAAGGAAGACCCATATAGATTATGTCACATGCTTTTGTTGTTCAGGTTTCAAAATCTAAGCATGTGGCTTTGAAATGCCCTGCAAACTCTAATACTTTTTGTCTTAATGTCTGTCTTCATTGCAGTTACCAGATACATGATCTTCAGAGTCTTAAATCCTGCTGCACAGCCACTGCTACACTAGATGACTTACAAATGATCATCCAACAAAAAGAACAAGAAAAGCTGATACTTACAGAGGTCGATATAACTACTATGAAAAACTCAATACATAATTGCAGCTTATCAAATAGCATTACAGATCTGGATTGATCACGTCCCCAGAAAAATAATAGTCTTTCTTCTAGCTTGGGCTGAAGATTGACCAAAAGAAGGGGGACTGAGAAATGAAGCAAAAACTGAAATGATCTACTGTACCATTCCATGATATGTAACCAAAACCATTTAAGCTCTTACTGTTTTTAACATCATCTTGCTTAGGCTCATATGTTACAATATAAGACCACAAATAAATCAATTTAACTGCAATTCTGCACAGATTCATAAGATCTAGTGAGTCACTTAGTTTACAAATTGTAACCAATCCCTGCCCAGGCTACTAATATCCACCACAAATGCACCCTATGATGCATCTCTTTCCCTACACATCTCTTTCCCTAACTACCCTGTTTTGAGACATTACTGACACTCTATTACTGTGATGCTTCCCCTTACTTATCAGCAGCTTTTAACAATCCAGAATTTTATGAACAGTTTTTCTCTTGGCTTTTGAATGGAATTTGGCAGACTGACTCATATCTCACCTCCCCCTCTCAAAGCTGTCCATGTCCTAATTCCCAAAACCTGTGACTTTGTTATCTTACATGGTAAAAATGATGTAGCAGATATGATTGAATCAAGGATGGGAAGACTATTCTGAATTATCCAGGTGGGCCTGATATAGTCACAGGGTCCTTATAGAGGAAAACAGGAGGTCAGCAGGAGAAGGCTATGTGACAACAGAAACAGCAATTGGAGTGATGTGACCACAAGCCAAGGAATGCCAGTCATCTCTAGAAGCTGGAAGAAACAAGAAATGAGTTCTCTCTCAAGCCTCTATAAGGAACCAGCCCTGTTGACACCTCAGTTTTAGCTCCATGTGAGTGATTTAGACCTGTAACCTCCAGATTTACTGGTAAATCTGGAGGTTACAGGTCTAAAATAAGACGACAGAATAAATTTCTGTTGTGTAAGTGACTGAGTTTGTGGTAATTTTGTTACAGCAGCAGTAGGAAACTAATACAGAGAGCTTGGGCAGGAATTTGGATTTTATTCTAAGTGGATGAGAAGTCATTGAATGTTTTGAACAGAAAAATGACATGATCTCAAGATACGTATATTTTATGTACATTCTTGCTGTGTTGAAAATAGAATTTAAAGCAAAATCAGAAGCAGGGAAAGTAGTTAGGAAGGAATTTCTATAGACAAGAAAAGCAGTCAATGACAGTGATTTGGATTAGAGTGGAAGGCGTGGAAATGAAAAGTAGATAGAATTAGATGTATTTTTAATGTAGAATCAACAGAATTTGCTGGTGGATCAAATGGTGCGGAGTAAATCTGAGGACAGTGACTGAAGGGGAAGAGATACATAAGGATGACTCCTAAAATTTTGACCCGAATAGCTGGATGAGTACAGAAGAGGGGCAGATGAAGTTGGAAGGAAGATAGTGGCCAGGTCATAAGAACCCCGTATGCCATGATTAGGAGCCTGGATATTGTCCTGAAGGCAATGGGGACACATTGAAGGCTCTAAGTACAGGAATGTCACGGAAGTCTAACCGACCTTTGTGTCCCTTTCATTTTTTAAATTCAATTAATACATTAAAAGATGTCCCGGAGCCATAAACCATTATTCCATCTCTTTCCTCATTCTCTACCTGTGTAATGCACCTGGTTTTTAACTTAATTAAAGCCTTGTTATGAGAAAAGTTATCAAGAAAGTTCTAAACAGCTAAGTTTTACATTTTATGGTCAGTATTGGACCTCATTTACAGAAGTCTGATAGAAGATTAGAAAACAAGAAACTCATAAAAATAGCTGTACTTGTTTGTAACACTTAGCCCAATGGCAGTTCAAGGCAAAACTGGCTGGTGGGTAGAGGACATTGCAGCAGTGGCATTAGAGAGAGGAAGAAGGGTATAGATTCTAGAGATAGGAGGTAAAATGTATAGGATTTGATATGAAATAGACAGAGGACGCAAAGTAAAAGTTGATTCCTAGGTTTCTAATCGGGGTTATTTGGATACATCATGATTCCATTCACTGAAAAGGAGGATCCTGGAGGGAGAGGAAGTTGGGAAGGTGACAGGGAGAGAATGATGCATTCAACTTGGATACGATTTATTTTTTAATTAATAACGTTTACATTTAAAGAGCAGTTTTAGGTTTACAGCAAAATTGAGCGGAGAGTACAGAGAATTCCCATATACCCGTTTCCATACATGCACAACTGCCCCCACTATCTACAGCCACATTGGTACATTTGTTACAATCAGTGAACCTATATGGACACATTATTATCACCTAAAGTCCAACGTTTACATTAGGATTCACTCTTGGTTGTGTACATTCTATGGGTTTGGACAATTGTATAATAACAATAACAAGTATCTACCACTGTAGGATCGTATAGGACAGTTTCAACTGCCCTAAACATTTTTGTGCTCTCCCTATTTATTCCTTCCTCCTCCCATCTCCCCCAGCCTCTATCAACCACAGATCTTTGGACAGTCTCTGTAGTTTTGCCTTATCCAGAATGTCATGTAGATGGAATCATACAGTTTGTAGCCTTTTCAAATTGGCTTCTTTCACTTAGTAATATGCATTCAAGGTTCCTCTATATCTTTTCACGCCTTGATAGCTCATTTCTTTTTAGTGCTGAGTAATATCCCATTGTCTGGATGTACCACAGTGTATTTTTCCATTCACCTATTGAAGGACATCTTGGTTGCTTCCAAGTTTTGTTCATTATAAATAAAGCCCTATAAATATCCATGTACAGGTTTTTGTGTAGACACAAGTTTTCAATTCATTTGGGTAAATACCAAGGAGCACGATTGCTGGATCACATGGTATTAGTATGTTTAGTTTTGTAAGAAACTGCCAAACCATCTTCTAAAGTGGCTATACCATTTTGCATTCCCACCAGCAATGAATGAGTGTTCCTGTTACTCGACATCCTCACCAGCATTTAGTGTTTTTATTGTTCTGGATTTTGGACATTATAAAAAGTGTCTCATTTTTGTTTTAATTTGCAATTCCCTAATGACATACAATGTTGAGCATCTTTTCATATGCTTACTTGCCATTTGTGTATATTCTTTGATGAGGTATCTGTTCCAATGTTTTGCCCATTTTTAAGTGGGTTATTTGTTTTCTTATTGTTCAGTTTTGAGAGTTTTTCTATACTTCAGATAAGTCCTTTATCAGATGTGTCTTTTGCAAATATTTTCTCCCAGTCAGTTCCTTGTCTTCTTTCTTGTGACATTGTCTTTTGCAGAGCAGAAGGTTTTTTATTTTAATTAATTCCAGCTTACCAATTTTTTTTTCTTTCATGGATGATGCCTTTGGCGTTGCATCTAAAGTGTCATTGTCGTCCCCAAAGTCATCTAGGTTTTCTCCTACGTTATCTCCCAGGAGCTTTATAGTTTTGCGTTTTATATTCAGGTCTAAGATCCACTTCAAGTTAAATTTTGTGACGGCTGTAAGGTCTGTGTGTAGATTTTTTTGTTTGTCTGTTTGCTTTTTTTGCATGTAGATGTATTCTAGCACCATTTATACAGAAGACTATCTTTGCTCCATTATATTTCCTTTGCTCCTTTGTCAAAGATCAGTTAACTATGTTTATTACTGGGCTCACCATTCTGTTCCACTGATCCATTTATGTGTTCTTTAGCCAAGTACGCACTGTCTTGATTACCACAGTGTTACAGGAAGTTGTGAAGTTGGGTAGTGGCAGTTCTCCATCTTTGTTCTTTCCCTTCAGTATTGAGTTGGCTCTTCTTGGTCTTTTACTTCTCCACATAACTTTAGAATCAGTTTATTAAGTGCCCACAAAATAACTTACTGGGATTTTGATTGGGATTGCATTGAATCTACAGATTAAGTTGAGAAAACTGAAATCTTGACAATATTGAGTCTTCTTGTCCACAAACATGGAATATCTTTCCATTTAGATGTTTTTAAAAACATACCTTTCACTAGAGTTCTGTGGTTTTCCTCATATAGACATTATACATATGTATTTTGTTACATAAGTATTTCACTTTTCTGAGTGTGACTATAATTGATAATGTGTTTTTAATTTCAAATTCCATTTGTTCATTGCTGGAATATAGGAAAGTAGCTGACTTTTGTTTATTGACCATATATTTCACAGACTTTCTATAATCACTTGTTAGTTCCAGGAGATTTTTTTGTTGATTCTTTCAGATTTTCTACACAGATAATTGTGTCATCTGCAAAAAAAAAAAAAAAAAAAACAGTTTTATTTCTTCCTCCCCAATCTGTACATCTTTTATTTCTTTTCTTGTCTTCTTTCATTAGCTAGGTGGCTGTTGTCAGGTTTTTTTTCTCTCCACACTTTAAATATTTCACTCCACTCTCTTCTTGCTCACATTGTTTCTGAGAAGTCTGCTGGAATTCTTATCTTTATAGGTAAGGTGCTTTTTTCTCTGGCTTCTTTCAAGATTTTTTTTCCCTAGTTTTGATTTCTGAAGTTTGAATATGATATGCCTAGGTGTAGCTTTTCATTTTGTTGTTTTTTACTTGGCTTATATCCTACTTGGTGTTCTCTGAGTTTCCTGGATCTCAGGTTTGGTGTCTGACATTAATTTGATGAAATTCTCAGACATTAGTGCTTCAAATAATGCTTCTGTTCCTTTATGTCTTTCATTTCCTTCTGGTATTCCCATTATACTTATGTTACACCTTTTGTAGTTGTCCCACAGTTGTTGTTTTTAGTCTTTTTTCTCTTTACTTTTTAGTTTTGGAAGTTTCTATTATCACATCCTCAAGCTCAGAGGCCAGTCATGGACTTTGCTCACCCATTTCCAGTTTACTGATGACCCATCAAAGGCATTCTTCATTTCTGTTAACAGTGTTTTTGATCTTTACCATTTCTTTTGTATTCCTTCTTAGAATTTCCACCTCTCTGCTTATATCATCCATCTGTTCTTGCATGTTGTCTACTTTTTCCATTAGATCCCTTAACATTTTAATCATAGTTGTTTAATCATAGTTCCCAGTCTGGTATTTCCAGCATCACTGCCATATCTGACTCTAGTCTGATGCCTGTTCAGTCTCTTCAAACTGTATTTTTTACCTTTTAGTATTCCTCATAATATTTTGTTGAAATCCAGATATGATGTACTAAGAGAAAGAAACTCAAGTAAATAAGCCTTTCATGGTATGGGGGTAAGGTGTCGGGGGAGGAAAGGCACTCTCTAGTCCTATGATTAGGTCTCAGGCTTTCCATAAGCCTGTGCCAT